CTTGGCCTGCTGTGTTCATCCAGCTCTGCACCTTGTTGTCAATAGATACAATGTGTCAGTCCTTTGTATGTGCAGCTTACATCACATGGGCTTTGAATTTCAAATCCCACATTTCTCATTTGAACTATAAAGACAGATACCACTAAGACCAAAGGGACTGTGCAAAGAAATAGCTGCAGATTAAAAATCCAGTTTACTGAGCATGTTGTAAGTTGCATACAATGTTGCTTTCCCTGGAACAGTGAGAGCAGAAGCAGGCGGAATGGAACCGATGGGTTCTGAACTAGGGGACAATTGTTTGATAACAGAGTTTTGAATTGCTCCTGAATAGGCGATTATGGTTTCTGCAAGACAACTGCAGCACAAACACATAGCCTACAAAGAGAAAGCAACAAAAATCTCATTCTGTGTCCCTTTCCTTTTTTGCGGAGCGACCAGAAAGTATCCAGTAAAACCCGAAAGAACTGCGGATGCTGCAAATCAGGAGCAAAAACAGAAGTTGCTGGAAAAGCTCAGCAGGTCTGGCAGGACCTGTGAAAAAGAATCAGAGTCAACGTTTCCGGTCCAATTCTGAGGAAGGGTCACCGGACCTGAAACATTAACTCTGATTTTTTTCTTCACAGATGCTGCCAGACGTGCTGAACTTCCCCAGAAAGTATCCAGTAACAGGCTTATGTATATTCAAGGCTGAGATAAACAGAATTTTATTGGAGTGGAGGATGATCAAATAGGCTGTGATCTCATTGAATGGCAGAGCTTATTCTATGGGTTGAGTGGCCTACTTCCACTCTTACATCTTGAGGTCTTATGGTAATGTCTGGGATTTTGTTTCTGCAACAGGGGGATCCCCCTAATGGGTGGAGAACAGGTGGGAATGTTATGTCAATTCTGTGGGCGAGCCTAACACATGGAACTACCCAAACGTCACTTGACTGGCCAGCATGACATTTAGGACCCCAACAGTGGAAATTTTGTTGAATGAGAACTATTGATAAATCAGAGGTTAGCCACTCCCCATTTCCAATTAAATTCTGCCCAATATTTCTAATTGATGAGCTTTTAGCAAAAGGGTTCTACATTCTATTTTTCTTAGGATATGTTTTCTGATGTTTGCGCCCAAAATTGAAGGCAGAATTCAAAATGAACTCAACCCCAGCCACTGCTGAAGGCAAGCCAGTGTATGTCATTGTCAGACTGAAGCATTGTAAATGACCATAAGATATAGGAACAGAATTAGGTATTTTAGGCTATCAAGTCTGCTCCAGCATTTGATCATACCTGATATGTTTCTCAACCCCATACTTTTGCTTTTTCCCCATGACCCTTAATCCCTTACTATTCAAAAACCTATCTATCTCTGTCTTAAATGCACGAATGACTTGGCCTCCACAAAGTTCTGCATTATTGAGCTCCGTAGATTCATCACCCTCTGGCTGAAGAAATTCTCCTCATCTCAGCTCTAAAACGTTATCCCTTCATTCTGAGGGTGGGTCCTTGGGTCCAAGTCTCTCCTACTGGTGGAAATATCTTCTCCACATCCACTCTATCCAGACCTCTCAATATTCTGTCAGTTTCAAATAGATGCACACCACCCCCCACATCCTTCTAATAGAGTACAGACCCAGAGTACCCAACCACTCATCATATGACAAACCCTTCATCTCCAGGATCATTTTTGTAAACCTCCTTTGGATTCCCTCCAACGCCAGCACATCCTTAGATCTGGGGCCCGAAACTGCTCATAATACTCCAAATATGGTCTGACCAGAGCCTATACAGCTTCAGTAATGCATCTCTTCTCTTGTATTCTAGCCGTCTCGAAATGAATGCTAACATCGTATTTGCCTTCCTTACAGGTTCAGAGAATCCTGAACTAGAACTCCCAAGTCCTTTTGTGTTTCAGATTTCTGAAGATTTTCCCCATTCAGAAAATATTATACTCCTCTATTGCTCTTACCAAAGTATATAACCTTTCTTTTTCACACATTGCATTCCATCTGCCACTTCTTTCCCCTCTCCTAGCCTGTCCAAGTCTGTCTTGGACTCCCTGCTTCCATTACAATACTTGTCGGTCCACCCTATCTTTGTATCATCTACGAACTTAGCAACAACGGCCTCAGTTCCTTTGGTAATTAAATGAATAGGTTAGTGATGTGAGGGGCATCTAGTTGTGAAGCCACATGCCAAGTCCATTCATTGATTTGAATGGAAATGTCACCCATGCTCAGGTTCACTCTTCAAGCAACACAAGTGTCCTTGCAGAGCAATGGATAGAGATGCCATTAAGAGGAGATTGGAAGAAGAATGGATAACCGACAAGAGGAGATAGAAAAGTGTGACTAACCAGCATTGTGCAACTGCAATTAAGCTTAAAGAAGTCTTGGTGAGTTCTGACCGAGCTTCTAGAACTAAAGCATCTATTCATTACATTTGTGTCCCAATTAACGTCAATAAAAGGCTAATCTTCCAAGAAACATTCTGTATTGTACACCTGGACATACGTTCCTTCTCCCATCATGAAGTACTAGATTAGAAGCTTTAACAAAATGAATTATGAAGGATGCTTTTTTTTATAGCCTCATCAGTCTCTTTTGACGACAGTAATTGCAGCTGGGCTTTCTAGCATCGACAGTAATTCAAATGTATACGTGCCCCGAAGACATTCTTAATCCGCAGCTACAAAAGAATGAATAAAGGATTTTTGGCACTGATCCCTTTGACAATTACCTTGCCTGGATCATGCTTTTTGGCATTGGAAATGGAGCCCTTTCCTAAAAAATAAATTGTGAGATTAAAAGAGATCTCTGCGTTTTTGAGAGTGAAAATTAACGCACAAAAGAGAATTGATCAGATGCCTTTTAAAGGGAGCAGGGTTTCTGAGCTGACAACCTTCCCCTAAACAGTTCCTTTTTGTAACGGAGTCAAACTATCTTGATGTTTCAAGGAGCTCTCTCCACTCTGAGTGGACAATAATCATCTTGTGCCCGCCCATTCCCAGGATGTCTGGATGTGACTGGTGGGTGTAGATGTCACTCTAGAGTGGTCCCCGCCCCCTCGGAGCAGGTTCGGTTGCCTGGCAATCAGCACTCTGAGCTGCTGGAGGCTGATTTCAGATGTTGCATTGCGGATTTGTAGCGACTACAATGTAACACAGGATGTTGCAATTGCAACCATGTCGCTACCGTCCCGATCCCGTTAGCTGCAGGATGACACGCTTCAAGTTCTGTGAAGAAATTATTTGTATTTATTTATACCTCAAACACACTGCGCTGCCGTCTCAGTAGGTCAGCGATTTTCCCTTTCATTGAATGAAACTTGGAGAGCGCACGCTGCACAAAAATAATGGCGACTAATCAAGACGGCTGTAGTGTCAAAGTCGCTTTAAGGTAAGACAGCTTCTTATTTATTACAGCGTTGAGTCGGTGCCAGGATAGTATAACAGGACAGTAAAACGCTTAGTAATCCATTGTGTCTATGCTCAATGATGTTGTGTTCAATTGCTCGCTAGAATAGGTGATGGAAACTTAATTAATTTGCATTTTTAAATCTATTGACTCTATTATACCATTTTGTCATTTTGACTTCAAAGCAAACAATTTCATGTTGACTGGTGTTGAGTTCTTGCTTGACATTGATAACATGCTCTTCAATTTGGTTGGCTGTAATATTTGGAGACAATAGATTATTCCAAGAAATAAAGACTCGTGGAAAAGAACTACGAATAACCTTTTTTAGTCATTGGGGAACTGCATTAAATGACACCACCCATGTTATTATGGCACGTTTGACATCACATTCTTTCCAAAGAATACACTTCTGCACATTTTATCACAGCTCTACTGTTCAGTCTTTGTTTATCAGAGTGAGTTCTATCCATGCAGGAGTTAACATGGTGAATAATTGGAATTATTATATAGGTATGGAAACAATATCATATGGGGGAGAAATAATACATTCCTGCTTTGCTTTCATGGATTTAAGATCATAGCTAACTCAAATTAGCTTTTTGCTAATCAGCTGAAGGTAGTGTAAAGATAATGGCATAATATAATTATTTTGTAATATCTTCTCCAGTATTTGACCACCCCCTTCCTCCAAGATGGTGACAGTGACAGTTTTACAATGTTGATCAATAGCCAAAAATCATTTAAAAATAAATGTACTGTAAAATATGTTCTTGATGTTTTATAATGACCATTATGCTGCTCCTTTTAATAAATTTTGATTATAGTAATGATTTAAAAAAAAACTGTGAAACCTTCAAATAGACCAATGGAAAATTAGAACAAAGAGCTTTTGCTTTGGCTGAAGCATTTTGATCAGAAAAGTGCCAATAGAATTACGATTACAGTTTCACTATATGCAGAAGAGAGAAATCCTACTAGAGAACAGCCTAAAGACAGGAGGGTGGAGTGACAAAAAGATGTGATGACAGTCAATTGACGGCATAGGATTTAATTTATTCTGTGGGCTACTGACCTTGGCTCTCTTCCAGTTGTAAGCCCGTTCAGCCATTTCACAAAATGAGTTTTAATTTTATCTTGTATACTAAATAGATAATTTACGAGTCATCTGTTAACAAAGATAAATGGATAATGTAGTTTCTGTCAAATAATGATAAACCAGCTTCAGATTGAATGTCACAGCCTGCTTTGTTAACATTTTATTTCTGGTTTGACCTGGGGCCCAACTATCACAAAGAATAGGACTTCACTTTTAACATCCAAGATCATGATTGTAGGGATCAAAAAGCACTAAATTGATTTACATCTTTATAAATAACTGGTGTTATTTTGCTTAGTGACATTGAAGTAAATTGGTTTTTGAAACCTCGATCACAACCGTTGACCATAGCTGTGCCTAGTTTCTTGCACTTTGATCTCAGAATTTGTCTTGACATTGTTCCAATTGTGTATCAGGGAGAAAAAAAAAATCTGCTCTTTGTTATAAAAAGGGTATCTGCATTTAATCTGTCCACATTGAAGTTAATTTCAAATTGATTAATCAATAATCCCTCTCTCTCTTTAATGGTATGTGTAACAAAATTCCTGATTTTCAAATAAATTTTTCACCTAGCTAAAGGCAGAGTTTTTATTTGAAGCAAAGGTTTCTAATGCACATAGTTTTCCCTCTTGGGTTTTGTGTATGTGGGATTAAATATATTTTTAATTTTTTTTTGGATCTCACACCAATCACAAAATTCAGTGTCATATATTGTTTGATAATATTAGAACACCATACAAAGAAAATGTGATTAGTGACAAGAATCCTAATTCATTCTTTGGTATGCGTATTGAAAAGACAGTCAATGAGAAATGGCTTCTTCAAGCAAATTGACTTGAACAATAGCATAAAACTGAAAATATTTATGAAACACAAAAAAATGTTAGATTATTTGAAAGTTATACCATTTTAGGTGGCAGTAGGCCATGGAAGTTTATGTTAAACAAAATGATGAGGTTAATCATTTGTAAACATTGTTGTTGAACAGAGTTATTTTATTTTAAAATAAAACTCAATTTCTATCAGCTATCTTGAAGCAAAGCAATTGATCTGTTCCAATGCAATCAATTTCTCAGGTGTCACACTGACAGAATGCATGTTTTGGCATATTCTAGCGTTAATGAATTCAGTGCACAGACATTACTTCCTGTCATTACAGTTCAAAGCAGCACGGTAAAGAATCAGGAAGTGTCAGTAATATTGCAATCGCAGGAAGGACATAGGCCTGTTGTTGACTTAAAACCAAACTTTTATGCAGTCGTGGTATGTGATAAGAGTTTATCTGCGTCTGTTTGTGAGAAGAGTGATTGCAAAAAATGTTTACAAAACAAACACTCAGTTTACACAGGATTAGATTAACTTTATCACTGTGTGCATATATATATTATATAATAGAAAATATACTACAGCATATCAATGGGATCCCGTTACTGAAAATGTAAATTTAAAATGATGGTGTGTTTATATCTTGTAAGATAAACATAAAGGCACCCTGGTACAGGGATGTGGTATATCAGACTATTAATGGTGCAGGATGGGATGGGCAATTTGACTATCATCTCAGTTTATCTGCAACTGAAGTATTAATTTCAGCATACTGCATAAAGAAGTGATAACAAGACAACATAATCTCATTGATGTCAAAGCAGAAACCCTCCCATCTCTGTTAAGAGTGATTGGCAGAGACCGAGAGGAGAAAACAGTGAGATTTGTGCATTTTAAAATTTAAATGAGCATATGCCCTGCCAATGCATTCCTGATGCAGTGCTATAGTTGCCCAAAATAAATATCTTGAGCTGAAGGTAAATGTGAGTACTTTTTGAGCAGTATTCTGAATTGGACCACTCATTTAGGTGTCATTTTCTTCTGAGATATCAGATTGGGACTTGAACCCAGCATCAAGATTTTGCTTGAAGGTGAGCAGGGAAGCTCTCTCAGACATATTATCTTATTGCTGTTTCTGGGATCCTGCTGTACCCAAACTGGCAGCTGCATTCCCAACTCTATAACCCGACTACAATTCAAAAGTAGTCCAGTGACAGATGCTTTGCAATGTCTTTGAAAAGTACTGTATAAATGCAAGGCTTCCATTTTTTTTTGCCAAAATGAAAGGCGTAATTTAAGGCAAAAAAAAGCATTAATCTGTCGAATTAATTGGCACAAGGAATAGTTCAAGAATTCAGTTTTAGTTCATTGCCAGATTTTATGGATTTATGACTGCTGATCGATGCGATAAAGTGCACTAGCGAATTAAGTTAATTACTGGCTTTTGCCTTTTCACTCCATCTAAACTGAAATGGATAACCTCTAACAACTGTAAGAATCCTAAACTTAGATTGTTTGCGCAATCAGGTATTAAGTCACCGACTAAAATTGGCTAGTGCTGAAAATTCATTTGATAAATACAGTATTTACTAAAACTAACTTAAACTCTCCGATGATATCATAAATTGAGAGCTCTACCCAAAGACCATTGGCTCTATTCAGTTACTATGCATCATGTTACTGTGAGGACACACTTTACATACAAAGATCTGCTATTTGAATACTTCATATCAACAAATTAAATTTAAGTTACTGGAACAAGAATGACTGAAAGAAATCATCAGATTACTGTACTCACTGGGCTGAGGAACAGATTTGTACTTGTTTCTAAAACATCATTTTCGTTATTTAGAATTGTTACAAATAAGCAATACAGTGTTTAAGCATATGGACAGAGTGTAAGACAGCTATCTGCCCCATAACTGCACACTTCTAATATCTTAGATCCCAATTATAAGGAGTGGTGACACTGACCCTAGGTTTCTGATTCAGCTCTCTTCCCTGGTAGCTTCTTAACATTGATATTTGAATAAGAGCTAGACTGTATTTGCAAAGCATCTTGGGTCATTCCACAGCTTCACAGCTACTGTTGTTATGCTTGCAAACATGGTAGCAAATTTTTGCACAGCTAGGTCCCATGAGCAGCAAAGATAAATGACCAATTAATCTGTTCTTGTGCTGGTTAAAGTATAAATATTAATCTTTGTTTTTGTTGCAAAATACCATGGGGTCTTCTACATCAATCTCGATAGATAAATGGAGAGTAAATTCAATATTGCATTACCAAAGATGCCATCTATTTGATACTTCAGTACTATGAGTATTGCATCATCAATCTAGAGAATGGGCTAATATTCAGGTGTGGAGCTTGATGACAGTATTGTAAGTGAAAGGCAAATAAAATATGCCATCTCAAAATTTATGCACACTTCACGTATTGATGGTCGACTTTTATACCTCCAGGTCCTATTACTCTACTTTAATGTGGTGGGCCACCTTATCTTTACAGAACTGAGTTGCCAACTCTGCCCTTTTTCTTTCTAGACTCCTACATTTTGCTAGCCTTTTTTCTGAGTTCACCCTTTATGTGAGCTTAATCTTTAGATTTGTTTTCTACATTCTCGCCAAATAAGGTATATATAATTGTGCGACGGTGAATTGACCTGAATATAATTTGTGCTCCAATCACAGTACTTCTACCAACTTGATTCTGAAGAATTCCTCTCTGTTGTTACTCCAACGCATGAAATCCAGCTAAGGTTTTATCTTCCCCAACCAAGGAACTACATCAGGCTGCACCTGAGACACCCCAATTCAGTAACTTTGGTAGGAGAGCCCACACTAGAACAAGAGAGAGAATAAACCGTATCTTCTGCTGTGATGCAAGGCCTGTTGGTCAAACTTGTATGGTTTCAGTTGGCTGCGGCTTTTGCTTTAGATTTTACAGTAGCTGGCACTTTCAAATGTGCAGTGGATGAATCCGGGAAGAAAGCATATCCTGACATTTTTAAAAAAATATGATTCTGTGAAGGCATTTGAGGCCATGAGAGATGCTGGT